CCAAAGCCAGCTGTGCACGTGTCACTCCTTATCCCAATAAACTGACTTCTGCTTCCTTCTTCAGGTAAAGTCCTTTGAGAGGCACTATAATAAGTTGATGGTCAATCTTCAGCGTCAAGTGGATGGAATTTGATGAACTTCTAGGCAAGTCTGCGAATACTTCTAGACTGTGTTAACTGGGTGGGGACTGTGGAATGAAAATGCACTGAGCACCTGCACTCAGTTTTCTTTCTTTCTGACTGCAGATGCAGAGTGATTGGTTGCCTCACGGTCTTATGACCCCGAGTCCCTCACTATAGCACCCTTGAACTGTGGAACAAGATAAGTCCTTTCCTCCATATATTTCTGTCATAGCAATTAGACAAGTAGTGAATGCACTGAGTCCTTGGTGCCCACATGAAGTTACCAGAGTACTCATCCTAAACCCATAAGACTACGGGCACATTTTAAACTTAAATACAGAAAATGTAACTATCTATTCCTAGATTCACCTTAGTGGATGAGGTACATATTATCCTATGGAGTTTAGATGACGCTGATGAAAAACTCAAGGCAACATGTGCTAAGTTTTGGCTTTCTGTTCAGTTGATCATGTTTAAATGTAGGCTTGATATCAGCAGATTCAACCAGCCACGGAGGGGAGGATATTCAGGGAAAATTAAAGGCATGCTGCACTGGACGTGTAGGCTTTCTTTCTTGTGGTTATTCCCCTATACAACTATTTGCAGAGAATTTGAACAAAGACATGTTCCCTATCAGCTCATGTATTTAAATACTCAGCTCCCACTTGGTGGTGCTGTTTGGGGAGGATGTGGAACCTTTAGGAGGTGCAGTGTTACAGGAGGAAGTGCTTTATTGGGGGCGGGCTTTGAGAGTCTATAGCCTCATTCCACTTCCTGTTCTATCTCTCTCTCTCAATCTATTTCTAATGTGTAGATGAAATGTGATCATCCAGCTTCCTGTTCCTGCCTCCAAGGCATGCATTCCCTGCCATGACGGACTCTCTCTCTGTATAAATAAAAAAAAATTCTTTCTGCTTTAAATTTGCTTTTGCTCGTGGTATTTTATTATAGCAACAGGAAAGTAACTAAAACAGCATTTGAATTGTATTAAACCTTCACAGTAGGATGTGTGCAAATGGATTGCAAGCACTTCATTGTCTTACATAAGGGATCTTGGCATCTGCCTATTTCAGTACCAGGGGGGACCCTGGAACCAATGCCCTGTCAATTTGGAATGATGGCTTCCTTTATTATCGGAAGTATCTGTATTATATTATGTAATTTTTCCAGCTTCAAAATTAATGTCACTGGTATTTATAGTGTCCTCACTAAAGCATGGCAACATGGTAAGTGCACATGGATGGAGCAATGCCATCTGCAGGAAGCTTCCTAAAGAGATGTCACACTGGTTCAGTAGCACAAGAAATAAAGAAATGGTTCAATAGTTGGCTCACCCCATGATCTAGATGATTTGGCATCTGAGGGTTGAGACTACTCTTAAGAGTCAGTAATGGTCCATCTTCACTGTCAATTTGTGGAGCAAGAAACACCTCGGTCATTAGTGAAGTACACCTTTGAGTGTGTCTATGAAGACATCTGTACGGACTAAGGGGAAAAGGCCCATCCAGAATGTGGAAGATACAATCTCATGGGCTAGTGTAATGGTCAGTCATCATTGAATCACCATGGAAACAGACCTCTGGGTGTGTCAGTGAGGGTGCCTCTATAAGATTTCATTGAGGAGGGCATCTTGAACGTGAGCAATATCATCTCACGGGTGGGCGGTGAACCAAATGTTTGGGAAAGGAAAGCTGAGTATCGGCATTCCTCGATACCTCACTTCCCGCCCCATTGCTTGCTGACCATGGATGCCCTCTCAAGAGCTGCCCCACACTCCTATTGTCATGCCCTCAAACCATGAGCTAAAAGAAATCCTTCCCCACCTTACATTGCTCTTGTCAGGAGCTTCGTCACAGCAGTGAGAAAACTCAGCGATGCAGCTGAGATCCAAGAATGAATAAAAAGAGAGAAAAACACAAACTGAGTGCCCACAGTTCCCTCTCTTGCTTGAGATGTAAAGAGTCTCAGCTACACACGCAGGCTGTCATGGACTCTGCCCTCTGTTCTCTACTGCAAGGGACTGGCATCCTCTCCAACCATGAGCCAAAACAACCCCTTAAGTTGCTTCTGTCAGACATTTTATCACAGCGATGAACACAGTCTCATCTCAGGTTACAGATGATGGTCTGTTGCCAAGCGTGAAGAGTTCCCCTCTTTCCTGCCTCCCTCCCACCTCCAGCCATATTCATTATCCAATCCTGAGGCTAGTCAACGATGCAGCTAAAAAAGAAAGAGCCAGGCAGGATTAAAAAAAAAAAAATCACCTGCCCTTTAAAAAGAGAGACAAGACTACGTCAGACACAATACATTTAAAATATGTATTGAAATTATAAATCAAATGTTTCTATAAGATTCTAAAGTACAAATCACAACATGAAAAGGCATTCAAACAGCTCTTATACATCACAGTGTTAGTGGTACAAAGTGTACTCACATTTCAAAACCACAAATGCAATTTTCTTATTTTTTGTTTGTTTGTTTTTGGTCTCACCACCATTTGTCAAATACAGAAAGGATACGTGTGCACGTGCGCATGACTGACACATGCATGTTTTTATACAAGATTAAAACACACCGAGGCAAAATAGAAAAGAAAAGTCAGGCACATGGCACATAGCTACACTTAACTGAAGGGCCCTGGGATCTTGGAAGACAGGATTATACAAGTCAGGGAGGCTGGAGACCATGGGGTTTTAACTACCAAGAAGGTGGGCTCTCCTAGTCACGGGGCATCAGGAATTGTTTGATCATAAGCCCGTTCCTCCTGGTTGAGGTTTCGGCAACAGCCAGTGATAATTTCTTCACCTCTTGTAACTTCATAAGGGTTTGGGTTCCTTGTGAGGGAGAAACAAGCTTTGGTATTTTTTCTTTAAGGAAACCTTCATAAAATTGTATACATGCAAAATGGTTTCCCTTGACCATTTCATCGTGATTTACATATATATATATTCACAGGTATATTTATCATTCAATGGGAATCTGGGAAGTATACAAAATAAGTCCTCCTTGGCTTTTTACAATCCCCTAACTTTTAAAGACTGCCAAGGGAAACACTTCTCTTCTAATTCATAAAACAAGATTTCCCTTTCCTAACTCCAGTGGAAAAAGATAAATTCATCTTGAAGTCAGTCTATCCTTCCTCCTGCGTACATTGTATTCAGTGGGGGAACTGGCCAGGGTCTCACATCTGTTTTATGGAATAATACCCCGTAGAGAGAATTTGTTCTCCTCAAGATAGGTACCAAAGTGGGAGGGGCAAATGTTGGTTCCACTGTCTGAGCTAATCCTGGGTAGTGAGGTGGGAATCCGAATCTCTGTCTTTGCAAGGAGCTGATGCCCTGTCCTCCATGAATACCTATCATGACAAAGCCTCTGCAGACATCACCCAAGGAGAGAATGGGAAGCCTCAACAGCTGGTCCACAAAGTGTAGGACTGAGTTTTGCAGAGATAAGTACACCCACTAAGACTCAATGGCATAGTCAGCTGCCTGATGGCTTCAGATAACCGGAAAGCCACTCAGTGTTCTGTGTGCATTTCACATCACACACAGCTCAAGCTGAATGTCTGTAATAAACGGGTGTGGCAGCCTCTAATAAAAGGCCGGCCACAGGGAACAATGCAGGTGTATATACTTCAGTGTGATCTTGCTGGTGTCTCTATCGGGAATGGATGAGTTAAGGTTTTATTACTAAATCCAACTGAGTAAGTGTGCTTGATACAAAGACTCAGGGCAGAGGGGGATACTCTGATCACACCTGTTTGGCCCCTGCATTCCTATGGTTCCCAACTGCATCCAGCCATGTTCTTCGGATGCCCACTGTAGGTTGAGATGTGAGAGTGGGTGGGGTTACAGAGGTGTGTGAACATCCAGGGAAGTCTCAGAGACATAAGGTGACCCCATCTTTGATTAGGGAGCCTGAGCTGCAGTCACTCCCACGAGGACAGAATGCTATTGAACAATGAAACAGACAGCAGTAGTCGAGGCAAGGTGGGAAGGAACCAGGGCTCAGGACTGATGCCGCTACTGACAGGCCTTTCAGGGGTGGTGGCCAGATAGTTTCACGTATAAACTGCAGACTTCAGGTCTCAAATCCCATCTACTGACTCACATGGAGTGGTCAGCCCTTTCCAGAAAAGCGAGGCCACGTTTCCCCATGTTTTCAACCACAGAGGCTCAAGGCCTAGGCTTCACCCAGAAGAAAGGTCTCAGCTGAGGTCAGGCCTGATTTGTGAACCTGCAAATTGCAGCTACTGGAGGACTCTGAGTTTTGATGTGGACTGAGCTTGTAAATGGCTTGAGCTTAATAAAGAAAATCAATACCGGAGGGTGAGAGAGCAGTGGTTCTGCTTTTCCTCAGTTAGTCATTAGCAATTAAAAATAGACAAAGTGAAGTCATTATGGGCAAGGAGTGTCTGCTAAGAGTTGACATTGACCCATAAATGCAGTCACACAAGGATGCGCTTGCAGTAGACAGATGGCTGAAATGATAGCACTCCATGTTTGCTTTGCTCCTTTGTAGGATGCTTAATAAGCCTTCAGACCGCCACCACCCCTCAACCCCGTGTAAACCTCTGCAGCTCTGTCCTGCTTCTGGGAAGCACACTGGGCTTTGAAAGTCAATTCTGAAAGAAAACCCTCTCTCCTGTCTCCAAGGTCACTTGATGGAGTATCTGTGTTTTATTATCTCACACTTTGTTGACATGGAAACTGTCACACAGCCCAGTGAAAGAGCAAGTCACAAACTCCCCACATCAGGAAAATTAAGTAAAACAGAGAGGTTCCTTCCTTCTTTTCCTTCCTTCCTTCCTTCCTTCCTTCCTTCCTTCCTTCCTTCCTTCCTTC